TGGGAACACGTAATAATAAAGTATAACTCGTTACGACTTAGAAAAATGAAACCTGATTTCCAAAGCGACGTATGTCACAAGTATGGATTTTTACAAGCGTGTAACCAGATTTAATGCCACTTAGATGTACCTATACTTGAATTAAAATATTTAGTTAGAATCATAAACATTTCTGTTAAATGCAAAATTTAGAGAAAAACAGCCTTATAATCCTAGCTTCCACTTCACGAAAAATTGAACATTAGATCGCAGAATAATATTTTTCCGCCTACCTCTATCCAAAGTATACATTTTCTGGCCTCATTGCACGGAGCAAAGTCGTACTTTTCCTCCCTAGGGAGGAAAAGTACCTTTACTCTCTAGGGAGGAAAAGTAAAAGTGACGTCATGGTATGTCATAAATGAAATAGCTTATACGGCATTGACGACCTAAACTATATTCTATTATATAAGTATAAATTTTACCGTTTATTTATAGAACACCCTGTATTTTGAAAAATAGTAAAAACCAGTAAATTGTTATTTTAATTTAACGATTTTTACATTAATAATTTGGCTTCAATTCATAGATTCATCCGATTTTCGAATTTAGGACAGAAATGTTATAGCATGCTATGGTCGATTGACAGATCAGTTTCAAAAATAATATTTAAAAAATGAGTGATTTAAGCGAATTTGAAAATATAATTAATACACCACCGGATATTTTGGAACAGGTTAATGCAACAGTACAATCTCTATTACCCCAAAAATCTAAAGAAAAATACGAAAAACAGTAATTACATTTCAAGCAATGCGCCGAAGAAAATTATTTAAAAATGACTTGTTATTTGAGGGAGGCGGAAAAATCATATGTATTACTTGGGAGTATAGTGCCTTTTCCTCCCTTGGATGTTTACTGCCTTCCGCTTCGCGTCGGGCAGTAAACTTCATCCTGCGGGAGGAAAAGTGACACTTTCCTCCCTAGTAATACAAATAGCTATTATGTCGAAGAAAAAATGACAGTTCTGCTTATCGTATTTGTGTTTGATTTACATTTTACTATAAATTTTTATATTATTAATATTTGATTGTTGATGTTCGAATTGCTGGTATATTATAGTACGCGGGTACTATTGACCAAAGTATACCATAATTTCATGTAAAATTGTCAACTATATGAAAACTGTTTTTAATATTACTTACCGCACAATACCATTACCTATTATGTTTTATTAGCAAACCTATATGTACAGACATTTTTATAAAATATTACTTTTAAATTATTTATAGTACCTCTAATACATTTTTCGTATTTCATAAACTGTTAAATGTTAATTTATACGCACGCCCATGTAGTCACACGACAGCTTGAAGCGAGAACAGTTGCAATATGATAGACATACGTAAGTTTTATTCTCTTACTTGTCGTGATTGTACCTGCCTCAGAGTAAGTAAGTACCTGCAATAGCGTACGTCCATTACTATTCATATTATATTTTAGCTTTTGGACTGTCAGCGCGGAACGAGAGGCAAAGAGTATGGCATATAAAGGTGAAATTTGCATTTCGCGATAGGTGCGGTTTAACTTCTTTTATCTAAGGGTTTAACAATATTAGTGAATCCGACGTCATACAAGCCAGTAAAAAATTAAGCAATAAAATAACCCCTGGCCTCTGGCTTTTTGGTTAAAGATGTACTTATTTATTAACTTATCCATTAAATATAATATTTAATTTAGCACTAAATCTGACTTTAGTTTCCCGGAGCAGTGGAAAGAAGCAATAATTATTAATGTTTTTAAATCAGGCGATAACATGCAAATCAAAAACTATCGTCCTGTATCTATTATGTCAAATTTCTCTAAAACCTTCGAGATAGTTATTTACAATCACATATATCCGTCTGTTCGCAATCTAATATCTCCTTCGCAGCATGGTTTCTTAAACAAAAAGTCTACTGAAACTAATTTACTTATAATAACTCAACACTTATCTGAATTGGTTTTTCATAACGGTTATTCTTCACAAGTGCACTTCGCAAAATTAGGTGTCCCTCAAGGTTCAAACCTTGGACCGTTGCTATTTTTGTTATTTATTGATTATCTCGATCACCATTTAAATTCTTGTAGACTTATTTAAGCAGATGATTTTAAAATATATCTACTCGTATTAGTACTAGACATGTATGACGGTTTAGCGCTTCTGCAGGACCTAGTTATATTATCAGATTGATGCGTGCAAAATAGGTAAATGCTAAATGCATCTAAGTGTAAAGTGATGATATACACACGAAAAAATTCTACAGATTTCTATTACAATATTAATGGTTTAGTTTTGTCACGTTGTTTCTCTATCACTGATCTGGGTGTTATACGAAACTGTCGTGGATTCAGAGACATTGGGTCATTAAAACCATTATACTATTCATACTTCCACACTAAGCTTTTAAGTACTGTTCAACTATCTGGTATCCCTACTATAATATTCACATGATTAGTGTTGAATCTGTTTAAAGGAAGTTTCTGAAATATTTAGCTTTCAAAGTAAATGGTGTCGACCCTCCAAGAGAAATCGATTATCAGCTACTTTTGAATATTTTTAACATAAATAGGCTTGAATTTCGGAGAATTCTAGCTTCTTTGATTTCTTTATACAAAATTATTAATGGATTAATTGATTGTCCTGTTAATTTAGCTAAAATAATTTAATTATTTCCCGGACATCTGAGCATGCGCAGATCGTTTACGTTATATAACTGACTTTATTAAAGATTGTGCCTGCCCTTAATTGTGGATGTTTAAGCCTATCATCGTCATTTAAACCTTCAAAAATGGTTATTTCTAATGCCTCTTCCATATTATGTTATTATAGACAACAAAAAAGATGAAAGGTAATTTAAAATTCTTAAAATGAGATTAAAATATGTACATAAGGACAAGCACTCTAATTTCAAAACTTCAGGTTTGCAATAAGACTTATTTTAGCATGGAATTTATTTGCCTCTAATTACGTTGTCACTATTAGTGGCTGACGTTATAGAAATTTGCAATATCTATTCAATATAATAATTGAATAAGTTCTTCTTATTTTATTTGTATAAAGACAAAGGTAATACGTCAAACTCAAAACGTTAAAAAAGCGCATACAATTTTCGTACAGATTTGTCTAACGCCTCAGCCTAATGTAGAAATCCTTATTATACTCTTTTAAATGATAATGACTCATATCGAGGATTGCACTGTTGTCAACCGGCAACAATGTAATTCTAATATGATTTTCAGAGATCAACTTACCGGGATCATTTTATTGTTTATGCTTCGTCAACGCGGAAATTTAAAAGTGAGATTATTCTATAATATTTACTCCTCGTAGAAATATTATATCTAGCCAAGTTAGGTAATTACTTGGAATCAGCGATAAACAAGTCAATACAAAGAAGGTCTACTAGGAAACCAATAAACCAGTTAGGAATTAATTAATATAAATAAATCAGTGTCGTAGCGTGAAACAGGTATATGGTTAGTTGTAGTTTCTTTTTATGTTAAACTAAAGTGTTGGTAGTGTATAATGACTTTTTTGACTGAGATAGACATTATGTTATATTTATTAACTTGAAAACGTAACATTTAAAATTAGCGACGTCCAACGTTTGCTGGAAATTAGAATGGCACGAATACGGAAAGAAGATTGGACAAATGTCGCAACCCACGTCATCAAGTAAGAAGACAAAAATTTGGAGATTAGACGGGATGGTGGACAATGTAATCGAAAAGGTGGTGATAGAATTCAATATCTTAGGGGATTCCAGTTTTAAGGACTCTTTGGCATAAATCAATATTTTTTATTTTATTCTTGATTACTGATTTATATGTGATACGTGTAAGTTTATTTATTTTTAATTTAATTTTTGATTTATCTTATGTAATAAATAATCTAACAATTGCTAAATTATTTGAGAATTTTTTAACTTTAAATTTATTGATTATTAGAAGGTCATATTTTTTTAAATTCTTATCAATATTTCAAATTACATTTTGTTCTTTATTTAAAATTATATGCACTTTTTATTTTCCCTGTATACCTCAATATTTTACAAATTTTATTCTTCATTATCGATTTATTATTGCAGAACATGTTATAAATATTTTTTTTGTAAAATTAATAATAGAAAATAATAAATACTTTTTCAGACATTTCATACAAAGTAGATTAAACAATATTTAACGTAAATCAATAAAATTGTTACGCCGCTGCATAGGACAATTATTGGTAATTCTAGAAACACATTGTTGCCGGCCGACCATAATCCTTCAATGAGTCACATCATTTAAAAATTGTTAGTATATAAATAAAGAACGCACTACCTATATTGCACCAATATTTCACTCGAATCGGTATCGACACGGCACCGTAATAACTTCTTCATTGTCAGGTTTCATTGTAAACTTCCTAGTAGCATTTATTACTGTTTAGAATATAGTAATGTCGACACAACATAAAAGAAACGGGCAATATATTATTTTTTTATTTACAAATAATAATCATTATTTTATTTCATTTATACGAACCCACTTTCCCCACAATAATATTCACTATTTATCGAAAAACTAGATAGATGTTTCACATATATATTTCTGTAATTTTTAGACACATTTTACATAATTTGTTGCATGTTATTAAAATTATTAATAAATTGATTTTAAAAATGTATAAAAATATATCTAAAGGGCGACGTTTTCGAAAATTTTAATTTTTGATAAATAAAATAAAAAAATCTTTTTTTTAATATAATGAACAGAAATTCAAATTTCAAAAAATCAAAAATTAAAAATCAAAAAACTTCTATTTATCCTTTCAACTGTTTTTTTTTTTAATTTTTGAAATCAAATAAAAAATAATTTCAAATTATATGTGAAAAGTTTTGATGTTTCTATTCATTATCCGAGAACCCCCTTAAATACTTATTATACCTTGTCAATTATTCTAAAAAGTGTTTCAACATCTATGTATATATTTACAGGCAAAATCAAAGTGCAAATCAGAATCGGCTTCTTCCAAAAACCAAAAAACATCACCACCATCAACTTCAAAATTAAATCTAGTGTCCCTCTTAGTAGCCCTTCTGGCTATGTTTGCAGCAATATCATTATTTGGGTTAAAGCAATGCCCTTATGGTTTACAAGACGAAAAACCTTCATCGACCAACAAACAATCTTCTGGTAAAACTCAAAAAATCTTCTGGTATTTCACCAACAACAACCAATCGTACTATTTGAAAGAAGTCTTTACGGTTTTAAAAAGATTGGGATACGAAAATGGTACCATTACCAGTGATTGGGACTTGCTGTGGGCGTTTAATTGGCCTTTTGAGGCTTTTAAAGAAGAATTAATGAATCTGAAGCCCTACCAAAAGGTTAACCATTTTCCAGGTAATACTTTTTTATTTATGGCTTTATAGAATCTTAATTTTAAGTATGTAAAGGTGTGTACCTCTTTAATAGCAACGTTGTGGGTACTTTTGACATTTAGTAACTTAGGAGGCACTTTACATTTAGAAGAAGATCAGCAGTGGGATTCTCTTCTTTCGATACCTCACGTATCGAGACTTTTATCTTCGTTTAACAGACTGAGATTTTTACGTAATGTCTTTCTTTATGCGATACGTATCGTGTCGAGTTCGCACATAAGAATCTCGTGCTCAGAGATAAGTTCCACAATACAGGATACTGTGTTTTAATGTTGCGCTGCAACCAGAACTTCTGATAGCCTCGGTTAAACTTCTGCTTAAGCTCATCGTCTGTGCTGATGGTGATCAACTCTTCTTGCATTATCACATTGGCTTCTTCCATGGCTGTGATATTGTACGGATTTATTATCCATCGAGAAATTTGGAAATTTAAGAGATTTTCAAACCTCTTAGTAAAATCTTTAAGTGAGCTATAAAACCACGATGACGACCAAACATAGATGGTGCAACATCAGTCGCAACAGAAACAATGTTCTTTCATGGAATAGCTTTGTTGGCCTGAAAAATCGATTCTCCTCTGGTATCAGTCTCCAAATATGTAGCAAAAAGCAATTTTTGGCACATATTTTCATCTTTAATATATCGAACATATTCTAACAACAGAGCTTCATTGCCGGGTAATGTAGACTCGTCCAAAAGGAGAGAAAACATTACCGGGTAATACAGATTCGTCCAACTGCGGAGAGAATTTATTGGTCTGTAAGAAATTGCATAAAATGTTTTTCACGTCTCGACCCATCTCGTATATTCGTCTCTGAATGGTGTTATGGATGTACCACTGTAGTAGGAGAAGAAAGAAAAGTTTAGTTTTATAATTGAATGTTAAAATCGTTCTGATCTCAAAAACCCTCAAAACAGACAAATTTACCTGACGAAGTATTTACTTCAGCTGTGGGTTCTAAAGTTAATGACCCTTTACAGATTTAGGGTGAGATTACAGAACGTCTGCAACTTTGCAGATCTGCAAATAAGGCGGACTTACAGATGCAAGTATCAAGTTTTCGTATTCTAAAAAATATCTACAAATTCGCAATAAACCACAATAAATTTTACTAATTTGCAGATATTTTTTGGAATACGAAAACTTTATTTTTCCTAGGCTTGCGAATTAGAATTTATGATTGTTAATTTTATGATCTTAATATTTTTACTTCTTGAAATGTTGAATATTTATTTTAAGGACATTTATATTGTAAATCCAATAAAGATCTTTATTATTTTCTTGTTTTATGTTAATATAATTCCTCTTGGGAATACTTGGTTTTTACAGATGATGTTATATTAGTTAGTGTCTTATCCGTTGATGATCTTGGCATCATCTGACATTTAACCAACATGTTGTCTTAAGTCTATCGTTTGCAAGGCATTTAGAATTATTGGCTTTATACAATGTCACACTCGTCAGATTTACGATACCAAAGGAATTATGTTCCTTTTCATATCTACACAGGCCACATCAACAACGGGTAAAACGAAAGTTTCGTTTTCCATAGGTACCAGAATACTATTGCTATTTTCAGGTATGTAGTCACTTGAAAAAAGAACAATCTCTTCTTTTGTTCCTTTTTGGAGTGATCTCGTGCTACATTCTTTTGGAAAACATCACCTTTCTGACTCCTTCTCGATGAACAAGACATACTCCTCTTCTCTAGACAACAACAACCAACTATTGACAAAGAGCATTATTTGACCGTATTAACCTAAACTGCAAAAGTTTTACCATGAGTGCAACATTTTCAATATCATCTTACCGTCCCTAAAAAAGACTCCTAAGTTCGACTGTGAGTGAATCTGTGCTTATTTTTTTGTGTTTCTAATGTATTTTTTGTGTTTGCACTTTTATTCAATTCTTAATAATTTAGTTTAAGGTTTGTAACGTAACGTATCTAACCTTTAAATGATTTTCCTTTATTTGTCAATACTTTATTTTCATTCCAGGTACCGGAGTGATAAACACCAAAGTGCTTTTAGCAACCAGTGGCTTAGAATATATTCCTCCAGCTTTTAGATTGCCAGAAGATAAAGCAAAACTGCTCGAATACTCCAAGAAAAATCCTCAATCATCTTTCGTACTAAAAGATAACTACCACAGGAAAATTAAAGTAGCTAAAATCGATGAAATTGATTTTAATCAAAGCCAAAATTTCGTACAAGAATTCATCGACAAGCCTTTGTTGATTGATGGGTATAAATTCGATATAGGATTGTATACGATCATCACTTCTGTCGATCCTTTGAGGATATATGTGTATAATGGTGATATTATGTTAAGGTAAATAAGACAAATATTTTATTACATAGTCAATCTAAAATCAATTAAAATTAAATAATTACCTATAAGAAATATTGTAACGTTTTACTAAAATAATAAGAACCATCAATAAATGTCCTGTACCAGTGTGAAGACCTGGCTAGATTGATGTTTCTCACACTATGTGAAGAAAAGCCGGACGTATAATAAAAAATACCAAGCTAGACGATATATTCTAACAAACGCAGTCTCACAATAGATCTAAAAAGGTCGGGTATACAAGGACAAATAATGTCAAACTCCTTTCAAATCTAATCTAATACTTTTTATAAGAAAACATTTCTATTGTACAATTATTATAAAAGTAAGTTTTTTATTAGATTCTGTCCCGAAAAGTACCTTCCCTTCGATTCAGAAAACTTGGACAAATACGTCATAGGCGACGACTATTTTCCAGTTTGGAAAGTACCAGGATTGGACTATTACTACAACACGCTGGGATTCAGTAAAAAGGAAACTCTTAATGCATATTTGCAACGTCACGAAATAGATACTAGTAGCATATGGAGGCAAGCCGAAGATGCTATTGCTAAATACGTGTTGGCAAAAGAGGCTGACATTATCCAAGCTTTGAAGAGGTAAGCGAAGTATTCGGTTTAATCTAGAAATATTTAATACTGCCGTCCTATCTGCAAAATGAGTAGTTTTTACTTTTTAGATAGACTCTTTTTTGCTAGAATGACAGAATAATAAATACTTAAAGACAGAAACGTACTGGTACAAGGTACTTCTGTGTTTCTGATATCGCAATTTTAGATGTTTGTACTGGAGCAAGTGAATACAGTTAATAAAAAACGAAACAATGCTTTCTATGCAATATGCAGCATTAAAAATAATATGCCTACTAGCACACGGATAAATATTTATATTAATCTGGTTTATAGTCAATATATACAATATTGTTATGTATGGGATAATTATGTTCGCTCTAATTACATTTTTAACCAAAGACATTACAAAATGCTTCATTTATAAATCCCATACAATTGCGGACTGTTATTGTTTTAAAATTGTTAGTGAGTGGAAGAGAGAAAGACAGATCTCTTAGGACCGGCTGGCAACGTTGTAAATAGTGTCCATAATATGTTCGCCAGTGGCGTAGAGTTTTAAACTTACCAGTATTGTCAGAGAAGTATGTTAAATAAATAAGTAAATAAGTAGGTATATTTTTTTAGTAATATAATTATGATGATTTTTTCATGTAGGTAAATTCAACTGCAAGTAAATTCAAATACAAGACAATTCAAGTTACCTTCCGATTTTTAATATTTATTGGTTTATAGTTTATTGGAATTTACTATATATTTGCCTAGTATATGATGTTAACCAAAATTAACTAAAATTTTAAATTAACATTAAGTTGGTAGGGGTATCTAAATAAAACACTGTCCTAAAAATATAATTTTTTAATTAATAATTACAAAAAACATGGTATGGCAAAAAATATCGTAAAAAAACTGTAAAAATGTTTAAAATAACGTTTTAAGTATATTAAATACCTTAATTTTATTAACTAAAATTTCATTTAATTTTTTATGCTTAGTTATTAGTGTTACTGCGATGTTTTTTTGCAGCAGTTGGTGTTCCAAAAACAGTTGAATCAGAACTAAAAACCAATACATTAGATATACATACATATAGATAATAAATAATGTTTAGAGGTAAACAAAAAATGTATATTTTGTAATTTTACCTGTTGGATAAGTCATCCAAAAATAAAAAGCCCTCACACCGTCAGGGGTTTGCATCTTTTCCGATATATTTAGCACCATTTGCACGTACCAAAATATCTTCAGGAAAAAAGTGTTCTGAACACAACTCTGGGTTTTTACGAAGGGGCTGATTTTCAAGTCTCCCCACTAGAGAAAACCAAAGTTTTCTATTCTTAAGATCTTGCGGAAACCGAAATAGAATATTAAAAAATATGTATAGGTACCTAATAGGTAATTCATTTTTAAGATATTCTATATTTTACGTTAAATTTTCTTTGCCACTATTCAATAATTATTTATTGGTATAAGAATAATTTACTAATTTATAAAAGGAATCACTTTAAAATCTGTTTTAAGACTGTCTTAGACTATACAAGTTTTTGATACAATTTCTTGTACAATTTAAATTGTATATTATCAATCCTGCAGTAAATTGTCTGAAAAATTAGATTGGATAATCATTTTTCAAACAATTTACTATGTGATCTTATACAATTTAAATTGTATAAGAAATTGTATCAAATCTTGTTCAAGAAATTGTAGTCTTAAGACAGGTGCCCTTCTCCACTGTGCGTCGATTCTCGAGCTTGGACGATGTGAGCGTTCCTATAGGAGAGGTGAACGATCACATCCTACAGCGTTTCTCTCAACATGGTTTGACCGTATTCTCGAAACTCGGTGAACGTGATCAAACGGGGGAATAAAGTGCACGGTGTTGCCAACTCTAATATCTTCTTTTTCTTGATTTTTTAGATATTTGAACTATATTTTGTTAGCTGGATATAATTTTATGATAATAAAAGAAGAAAAATTTAAAATTGTTCACTTCACGCCACCTATCCGTATTGAATTTGACATATTTAGAGAATATTATGAATTAGAAATGAGGTTGTTTCGTAGGAGTTTTCTATAATATGATAAAAATATATATATATATATATATATATATATATATATATATATATATATTTTTTTTTATTAAAAGCATAGAAGAGGGAAAACAAAAACGTACGCCCATTAAAGAGTTACACTTTTTTTAAGATACTTAATTAAAAATTAAAATTTGCAAACCGGAAATTTATAGTATAGTATAGGTAGTCAATTTTGTTTTAAATTTTGTTCTAAAGAAAAGTAAGTTTGTATTAATATCAAATACATAATTTTATTAATAAAAATTCGGTAAAGAAAATTCAATACATATGTTTATAATTATATAGATTAGACTAATTATATAAACTGGAGTGACCACCTCATAGAAATTTGAAATATTTTCAACTGACTTATTATATAAATGGTTATAAATTTATTTGTTTGCTACCTACGGAATCTGCAACTCTTAATTATCCCCCCTCCATGCTACCTACTTTAATTAATTGTAGCTTAAGTAGATTATTGTCAATACTTAGTTTTTATTTCAACTTTTCAAATATCACTTTTCTCAGTTTAATGGGGATTAAATTAACATTTAATCATTCTTTGTGTTTTCATAATTTTGTAATGGAGAATTTTTCTATCGAGTTGACATTTTTAACAATCATTCTTTGTGTTTTTCTAATTTTGTAATTGTTTTTGCAAAACAAAACTATACAATTTGCTTTTAGTAAAGATATTTGTTGTAGAAGATAATTTCTACTTAACATAACACTAATATCAATTTTGGGATTTTTCATAATTTCTATTCCCATTTTAGGCAATAAATATAGCTTAAATGGTACCTACCTACTAAATAATACGACCCTTATTTATTAGAATGTTGGGATTTTCCCTAATTTACAATTCCCAGAATAAGGATAATAGATAGGTATGTAGGTACATAGGTACCCATGCACTTGTATTAGAATTACAATTGATTTTTATGATTAATTACCAAATAATATTTTACTTATGCTAATAAATTATTCACTCTATTGTTATCAATAATGGTTTTATTAAAAATATAAAAATACGAAATGTACTAATATTAAAAAAGTTAAAAAAATTACTTAATTATGGGCCAAAAATAATAAATCAGCTACCCCGCATGCGTTTACTAACAATTCTTGAGAGAACACGGCGTTCTCCTACGAAATACCAGTAGAACGATGTTCCTACGACTTTCGTAGGAAGTGAACGTTCCTATGACTTCAAGAATACAGGCTTAGCGAATTTCAGGAGAAACACGCCCTCTATTCCTATTCGCGATTCAAATTAATTTTCGCGCGCCTGTCATTTGTCACGTATAAGTAGGAAGTTTGTTTATTTACGTGTTGTGGGATTTTGTATGTGTGATTTTTTAACTGTTTTTAGAGAATATTCTTATTATAATAGTGTTTTTGAGTTTCATTTAGTGTTAATTTAAGTTTAGTTTTCGTGCTTTCGTTATAAATGTAATTTTTCATGTGTAGTACGAACTAATTTGTTGGAAATATTGACCTATTGGTTGCTACAAGAACATCTAGAAATATGTATTTACTAAACCCAGGACATGTTTTATTATGTGGTTTAAAGGACATATCAGGTACCAAACGTTTATTATTGATGAACTTCTTTAAAAATCTTACTATCCTTATTCTTATATCATGAAGTGAATTGTGTAGTACTTTGTATACATGTAAATGGTAATAAAACCGTCACAACTCATATTGGAGTTTGATTCTAAACAACGTTTTGCAAAATTTCAATATTGTGAATTTGTAGATACCCATTTATCGTAAGAAACAGAATTTTATGACTTGCACTTGAAAAATAATGAATACTCCAGTTTTGATTTTAACAATAACACCATACAGATTGCAATTTGCTGGAGTCTTTTTCGCAGATTTCATTTTTAATTTAAATACTATCACATACTATAAGAAATAAACAAATTTAAAGCTAAAAAGTAACAAAAAACTCTAATTGTAATTTATACAAATTAAAATGTAAACAATGAACACGAACGCCAATGTTGCCAAATGATGAACTGATTTTGTCTCTGACTGATTTTAAAACTAAAATTAATAAATGAACTGATATTTAAAAAAAATCAATATAATAAATCGATTTTGTAAAAAAATCCTTAAATAAATAGTATGATTACATATTACTAGACACAAATTTTGATTCTTAAATAAAAGGTCTTATCCATTTCTTCAAAAACTAAAATCCGACGACGTAACGAAATTTTGCTGCTTCTGGCAACACTGAACGTCATCCTACTTATAGGGACCTTGTACTAATTTCCTCCAGAGGGCGTATCACTTAGCTTGAATCGCGAATAGGAACTGCGTTCCTACGACTCAAGAATACGGTTCAAATAAAAGCAACATATCTTAACCTAAAAATACTTACCGATGAAAGGATAAATTTCGATTTAAATGATCTACCTTATTGCTACACATGCATGTACCATAATTCTTTATATTTCTCACAAAAGTTCACAAAAATAGTATTTTATAAATGAATAAGTCACACAAAAACTGTCAGAAACACAAAATAGCTGTTAGACCCGATTGGCAACGTTGCGGCTGGTTACGGTAACTACATTTCATTCATAAAAATAGGTACTAGTTGTAAATTCGTAAAATAAGATATTCAGCGTTGCCGTACTTACGGAGTTCTTTGCAACCCTAATATTTTGTTTAGATTAATATTGATTTTTAATAAAAAATTTAGCTTATATTAAAACTTTAAAGAATAATTTGATTAAAAACATATTTTTATTTATATAATATAAAATTATTGTTATAGGATACATCAAATTTTATTTTTCGAAAGTAATTAATTTCTCCAAATAATTTTTACAGACTGATAAAACCGGCAAAGACGCAATAAACGAGAATCTGGTGGGAATAATGATTTGCCACATAAAAATGTAAACAATTTGGTATCTTAGTTGTAATGTCTTTGTTTTTAACCGACTTCAAAGGAGGAGGTTCTCAATTCGTCGGTATATATATTTTTTTATGTATGTTCAGCGATCATTTTTTAACACGGTGTCCGATTTCAATTATTCTTTTTTTGTTAGAAAGGGTGTACCTTAGGGGTAGTTCCATATACAATTGGTCAGGATCTGATGGGGTGGTCCCCATATAAGTTTGGTTCAAATCTAATAATTGGGCCCATGAGAAAATCCTCAAACTCTTCATTTTTCATGTACGTTTATGGCGATAATTCTTTAACACCTTGTCCGATTTCTATGATTCTTTTTTTTTTAGTAAGGGGGTACCTCAGGGGTAGTTCCATATACAATTGGTCTGGGATCTGATGATCTATGAGAAAATCAAAAATCTCATTTTTTAAGGGCATCTGTACGATTTTGAAGTCGGTTTTTTAATTAAAAAATTATTATTATTCTGAAGAGCGAAATTTGTTGAAATTTTGTTACGGTTCACATTGTCGTTTAGACAACACGGTATACAATTAGGTGTATTTTGTGTTGCGGTCCTCACGGAACCTAATTTTTGTTTGTGAACCACTGAACTATAATAATTAAAACTATATAAGGTGAGTTCGAGCTGCGCACTCCAGAGTGGAGTGGAGTAATTAGGCGTAAACGGAGTGCGAATATGATTTTACTCCTTTAACTCTCGGAGTGCAATGTCAGTTGTCAATGTGACATACCAGTTACTAAAGAATCAGTCACAATTAACTTATTATCGATTTAAATCATCTTATGCGCATGCCCGATCCACACTCCACTCTACCATCTCCGAACGGTCAAAGACACAAAGCACATAGAGGTTCCACGTGAATGACCAAGGTCAAAACCGACAACTGACATTTTTTATGCTATTTGCTCCAAACTCTAGATGGGGCTACTGGTGAAATTATGATTTCTTACTCCATTTTTAAGCCTTAATGGGAGAAAAACTAACCAAAGACTCCAAAGATGTGACGTGTATTTATTTATGTTCTTGGTTAGTTTCATTTTTCCGTCTGATTTTAGTAATTTTTTGTTGGCTTTGGCTTTTGGTTTCTGTTTATAGTTTCGTCTTAGTTATTTGCAAAATTGTGATGTTTCGGTTTTTTATTTCCTACTGTGTTTTGCAATAATTTTGGTGCTACGTTGAAAACTTCGAGAAAAATTTCATTGATTCACCATATATTCACCATGCATCTGCATCATAAAAATACAAACGGGGACAACAACTAATTGATAATCAATTTATCACTGGACTAGATTCCGAAATCTGTATCACCATCTGTATTTGGAAGGAATTGAATGAATAGTTAAAAGGATTCACCTTTTAATACAATACCTATATTACATTTGTCCTCAGTTAAAAAGACATTTATAAAATATATAACTTTAGTGTTAATAAAATGTAATATCCTAGTCTCTACTTCACATTTAAATTATTGATAGGTATTTTAAAGATTTGAGATTATATATCTATTTGCTCCAAGTAAGTATTCGTTAAATATGTATTATTATTTGTATTTATTTTTATCTAATAATATTTATTTAAGTTATTAATAAACATATTTTAAGAATGTTCTATTTTATTATTTATTTAATAAAAATATGCAGAACCAACTCTCCACATTAGACCCCTTATAACAAATTAATTCTTCAAATTTGGTATAATCGACCTAAATTATTTTGTAAAATAAAAGTTTCGAACTTACTAGTTCCATACTTTATTTTATAAAATAATTTATGTGGAAATCATTTAAAATTTAATTTAGAACTACTACCTACTCCTAAAAATTACAATTTGAATTTACCGCCATCTGTCAATTGTCATTTTAGTTCCAGCTCCAAACACAAGGTGACGCTAATTTGGTTTAAAAGTTTAACATTGGCGTGGGGTCTCTAGAAGATACATGCTTTGTGGTCAAAGAGGAACTTTTATTTTAACTCCTTCCGTACCCGAACGCCTTAGGTACTTTAGGAGTGAATATTCGCGATTCAAGCTAAGTGATACGCCCTCTGGAGGAAATTAGTAGAAGGTCCCTATAACTAGGACGCCGTTCAGTGTTGCCAGAAGCAGCAAAATTTCGTTACGTCGTCGGATTTTAGTTCTTGAAGAAATGGATAAGACCTTTTATTTAAGAATCAAAATTTGTGTCTAGTAATATGTAATCATACTTTTATTTAAGGATTTTTTTATAAAATCGATTTATTATATTGATTTTTTTTTAAATTTCAGTTCATTTATTAATTTTAGTTTTAAAATCAGTCAGAGACAAAATCAGTTCATCATTTGGCAACATCGGCGTTCGTGTTCATTGTTTACATTTTAATTTGTATCAATTACAATTATTAGAGTTTTTTTGTTACTTTTTAGCTTTAAATTTTTGTTCATTTCTTATAGTATGTGATAGTATTTAAATTAAAAATGAAATCTGCGAAAAAGCCTCCAGCAAATTGCAATTTATATGGTGTTATTGTCAAAATCAAAACTCAAGTATTCATTATTTTTCAAGTGCAAGTCATAAAATTTTGTTTCTTACGATAAATGGGTATCTACAAATTCACAATATTGAAATTTTGCAAAACGTTGTTTAGAATCAAACTCCAATATGAGTTGTGACGGTTTTATTACCATTTACATGTATACAAAGTACTACACAATTCACTTCATGATATAAGAATAAGGATAGTAAGATTTTTAAAGAAGTTCATCAATAATAAACGTTTGGTACCTGATATGTCCTTTAAACCACATAATAAAACATGTCCTGGGTTTAGTAAATACATATTTCTAGATGTTCTTTTAGCAACCAATAGGTCAATATTTCCAACAAATTAGTTCATACTACACATGAAAAATATTACATTTATAACGAAAGCACGAAAACTAAACTTGAATTAACACTAAATGAAACTCAAAAACACTATTATAATAAGAATATTATCTAAAAACAGTTAAAAAATCACAAATACAAAATCCCACAACACGTAAATAAACAAACATCCTACTTATACGTGACAAATGACAGGCGCGCGAAAATTAATTTGAATCGCGAATAGTGAAAAGAGTGCGTAGACCGAACTCACCAATAGTTTAGTGATTCTACCTTGATAGCGGAAAAGATGTTGCCAAATTAATTAAAAAAACTAGAAATTTCATGATGTTGTTTATTGAAAAATACAGATGTTACATTTTGTGCGTGTGTATGTGATTAGTTAAAGAAGCCCCTACAAGTCTATTCGGGCTGCCAAAAGTGTTCATAAAGTAACATTTCAAACTGGTGACAATCTGCTTACACGTTTTGGTTATAAAAAAATACCTATGTTACTGCAGTTCTACATTATTTTATGTCCAATTAATGTGTTTGATTTTTTAGGTACCCATCGAAAAGAAACTTCTTCGAAATGGTGAGGTTCGATTTTATCATAGACGAACAAATAAAAGTCCACATGCTCGAATCTAACATGAGTCCAAATCTTTCGGCCGAAAAACATGCCGCCAACAAGCTTCTGTACCACCAGGTTTTGTATAATTTATTCGGACTGGTGGGCGTGGCAGATAGCCTTAACAGGGCGTCCTTAGCTCCAAGGTACAAGAAAAAGATTAATATTTTTCCTCGTGGTTTTCCTATCAAAATTCAATACGTCCTACCTATGTAATGTCGTTTGTCGCTTATTACCACAAAGCACAAACCCTTTCTAAAAGTGTATGAGTAAATTTGTGTTCCTATAATAAATACAGTTTTGAATAATTATAAATTTTAGGTCAAATTCCGAGACAGAAATGATAGTAGCCGAGAAAAATTTGGTAACTTTTCCGAATATCTGCAATAGTCCCAAGTGTAAGTCTAGCTGCGCTTTTATTGACTGCCAACTATGTAAAAACTGCTTAACAGACGAAATCAGAGAATTTCTACAAGAGGCTGCTAGAGAGCACAATCACAGAGGTGATTGCAAAAGGATATATCCACCACCAATGGTTCAGATTTCTTCGGATATGATACATCAAGTAAATCCAATATTTTTTTACATTTTGAAAATAAGGGTACAATAACTAATCATTTATTTGTGTTATTGTAATGTGATACTTGTTATTTTATCTATTTTTTATAGTGTTTTAAGCTCAAATGATTTTGGGAGTGGGTTAGGTTATTAAATAACTCGTATTACTTTGAACAAGAAGTTGGGCACCACTATATTTAAAACTTACTATACTTGACTATCAGTTAATGATAAAAATATAGAAAATCACTAACCATTAAGATATTATATTTAAACCAAGTTTTAGATAAGGCAGTAACAAATTCTAATTCACAGAGATTTACTAATTCAAATTTAGATGGTTTATTGCATAAAAATAGACAGGAGGTAGTATAAAGGAGAGATTTGCATAGGCCTTCTTCAAAGGGACTCGAACGATACTCTTTGGGTAGCACCAAACTCTTAGGTATAAATCTTCATAAACTTAAATCTCATAAACTTCTTTAGATGTAACTCGAACTAAACCTCTTGATATAACTTGAAATAAACTTCTTTAGATGCAGCTTGAACTTCTTTAGATATAACTCATACAGAACCGTCTAGATATAGCCAGGCTTATAAAATCAGACGGCATATACGATAGATAAAATTTATTTAGTACATCGGATGACCCAGATAATTTAAAATTTAGATCAACTATTCGTTGACAGATACAAATCAAAATGAAATGGGAACTTTTGACGCAAGGCATAAACGACAAATGACATTTGTGTAGAGATGTTGATGTCAAAATAATGAAAACGGTTCCAACCGTTACATTATATAACAAAAAACAATTTTGTTTCTTTGAAATGCATAAATGTATATTGCACTTAGTACAAACAAAATTCATCCTAAAAGTTCATTCAGGGAATTTGCATCTGGAAGAAAAATATTTTTCATCCATTTTCATCATCAGTGCTTACTTCTATGTCCCTATATCTCCCCACTCATAATCTTCATCACTGAGCCTTTCAATATCTTCTGTGAAATAAATCAAGAATAACAAAAACTGTAAATAAAGTGGAGTTTTTACCATACCTGTCGATTTTCATTTATTCACAATGTACAATATACTCGTATTGTACAATAATATAGACAAAACAAACTAAATTTTCAGCAAGTTGACTATAAAAGTAACAAATAGAGGTATTGGTTATTACCAAAATAAATATTGCGAATATTTTAAAGTTTGAAATGCCATTTCATTTTCAACATTCTGAAAAAACCGCTACAACAGTAACAGGTACCATTAATAAATTTTTTTTAAATAGTAATAAGGATGCGTACAGAATACTTATACTTACTTTGTAAGTAAAGTGGATAGAAGCATTCTACAAATTCGTTAGGTTTTACGTAGAGTGATGTACAATATATTGTACACTGTGAGGGAAAGGGCTTAATATTGTAATCTTCCCAAAAATTGTTTTTAAATAAATAAATTAACAATTTATTTTCAAATCACTTTCACGAATGACAATTGACATGTCCGACATATACTCACTGTGCAAACTCAAACCTCAATTATGAATCTCCACATCGGAACGTAAATTTTAAGCGAGAATTGACATCAATTCCATTCTCCTAAATTCAGTCCTATGGGATTTCCCACCTTCTTTTCTTAACCGTCTCTGTAGAGTGCTGCCTTATCGTTATATAAATTTAAAGCTCTTAATATTCTCAAGACACATAATATTATGAAGTATTCCCAGTAGCGAGCATATAAATACCATTTTATATTAGAAAATCCTTAAAATATGTTTGCTTTGGCGAGAGGTATGGTTTGCTCTTACAATGGGCGTGTTTAGTGAAATTCAAAAATATTTTTTTCTGATAAGTAACACAAAACCTAATCTAAAAATATTTTTTTTAAATTTTTCCCTTCTCAAATTTTCATACAATAATTTTTTTAAATTCCAAGAAATTCAAGCAAATTTGAAACGTGCGCCACTCTATTCTTCAAGCATCGTCATAATGAAGCCTACATTCTTATTGGCTGATTTATAATGTTCAAGCCAGTAGTTGATGTTTTTACGTGGTTGCCGTTTTTTGTAAAGAATTATTGAAATTCCGGATGACCAACAATCATTAAATGGTTAACATCGTGCAATTTAACATAAAAACATAAAAATAAATCTATATTGGTTTAAATTCCATTTTTAAGAAGCAACCTGACACTTACTATTTTAATTAACTTTATTAATCGACTTGTTATTCAATACCATACGAAATATTTTATCTGACAAGTCTGGCAACGTTGTTTCACTCTGTGTCATAACATAACCTAACAACCTAACCTAGTTTTCGATTGAGTTTATTGTTTGGATTTTTCTTTTAAATTGTATCTATATAGTGTTAATTTTTTAAAAATGGCAAAAATACAAACTGGATTTATGGAAGGATCTTCTGATAACTTACCTAAGGTGGATTCCGATATGATAAATGATTTTTTTATAAATAATATAAAGTTTATTGGCTCTGAAATTCGCAATGTAAAGACGAAACGGTAAGACACTTTTTTTAGCTGTGAAATAATTTACAATCTTTTTATAATTAGGTTCAAAAAGATTTGTATTAAATATAGGAAAAAAATGTGTTTTCTATTCTACAAACTCTGTTAACTAACTGCTACTAAATATTGTTGACATTTTATTTTTGCTATACCTATTTATTAAGTAACAATTATTCTATTGTAGGTCTGCAAAGGAAGCATATGGTGACAGTGCATTATCATATGTTCAACTCAAAAGAGAGGGTGTTTTGTGTAACATTAAAGCTAGGATTACCCCAGAACACAAAATTCACAAAAAAGCCTATAATGTTGATGCAGTAATAAACGAACAAGAGGAAAAGGTTGTGTCTTGTGAATGCACAGACTGTTCTGCTTCTGAAGGTAATATAAATTCCTCTAAATATTAAAAAAAACTGTGCATACAATGTAACAAGGTTCTATTATTTTTTAAGGTGGTTGCAAACATGGTGTTGCTTTCTTGTTATGGCTGCATCGTCGAAGTGAAGAACCTTCTACTACATCGACATTGTGTTATTGGAAAGGCTCATCTTTATCAAAAGTAGGACGTTCTTCTGACTTGAGGGTTTCAACACTATTTGGCCAGAAAAAAAACAGAAAAATTGAGCCACCTAATAAAACATTGCTAAAAGAGCTATTAGCAGAATTTCCTACAAGCCAAGGTGTTTTATTCCAATTACACAGAAATCCGAAGTTTTCAAATCTTAGTCTGCATCAATTAGGGATTAATTATAAAAACTTGAAGACTGCTAGTAACATTGATGAATTCATGGCATTTATGACAAAAAGTATGTCAAAGAGTGCTTGTCTGGAAGCAGAATTATTGACAAGGCAGCAATCGAACTGTCCTGAATGGTTTGAACTTAGATTTGGACGCATTACAGCTTCTTTACTGTATGAAACTGCTAGAAGTAAAACCTTTTCAGGTAGTTTAAAAGAAAAAATTCTTGGGGCGAATCCACCCATTGAGACTGAAGCTATAAACAGGGGTAAAAAGTTAGAGTCGGAAGTGATAAAAATTGTTAGTGAAATTAAAAATATTACCATTAATAAATGTGGACTTTTTTTAAATAAAAATTACCCAATCTTTGGAGCTTCGCCAGATGGCATTTCTGATTATTATGTCATTGAAGTAAAATGTCCATATAAAGAGAAGAGTTTGAATAATTATATATCGAGTGGCAAAGTGACCAGAAAGTTTTATTTTCAAATGCAACTACAAATGTTGCTTTCTAAAAAACATAAAGGGCTGTTTTGTGTGGCATCTCCTAATTTTGAAGTTGATAAGGAGGTTCAGATATTAGATGTTAATTTTGATGAACATGAACTAAGTGATGTTATGGACCAGGCAAATATTTTTTGGAAAAATGTTATATATCCTGTTATAATTGATTAAAATAAAAAAAACGAATTTTGTAAAATTTTCTTTAATAAATATTCTATTAAACATGTATAACTAATGATATTTACATTTATTTCTCAATTACATTACCATTAATATTTATCAAGTCTTTATCAAGACACTTGACAGTTTATTGCAACTAACACTGCAGATTTATGTAATGTATATTTTCAATGCATTATTATGCTAGTCTTGATGTCACAGTACTGTTTGCCAATATTGTTTAAACACTCTAATTGTAGTTACAAATTTAATATTTTAGGAAATGATGGTAAACATTAAAATGAAGAGGCTCAAGATATTTATTTTTGTGTAGTTTGTATGTATTTTGTATAAGTATCAGAACTTAAAATGAACACTGTTAAATAATTTGCATATTTCAAACGAATTGTAATTTTTGATAAATAAATTTAATAATAGAATCATTATATCTGGACATAATATAAAAGATTAATAAATTCAATTTTTGTGTTTATTGTAGATTATTTATTTAGTCCTGTAAAGAATGCATTAAATAACATGCAAACTTTTCTACAATCATTTGAGCAGTAAAATAACATATATGGAATGACAATTTTTTACAAAAAATGAGGAGATATGATGCCAGTTTTTGGCTTATAGGTTAACTCACTTGAATTATTACATTTTTTTAATATATTCTGGTATAATCCCAGTGAATTAAAATATTTCATTTCTTAAAGAGATTTATATTTCACAAAAAAAATCTATTACTAGCTCAACAGTTTTAAATGTATTAATTTTTAAATAGATTACCATCTTAATGTGTTTTTTATTTTAAAAGGAGAATCTGAATACCTACCAATTTTCATATCCATAACATTTTCGATGAGGTCTTAAAAAAAATTCCGCTCTGTAGCAAGAAACTAAAAAAAAATATATTTCTTGATATTTAATTATCATTGGTCTTGACTGTAACATCTTTGGTTTTTAAATATAATAGACATCCTCATATAAATATTGACTTACCATTATAACTCGAAAACAGGCATATCTTTATTTATAAAGTTGATACAAAAATAACATTAATTCTAAATTTTATATGTTAAATAGTTTGGGCTATGCATTGATAAGTCATTCAGAATACTTCATAAACAAGATAGTAGTAGTTAAAGGTTATTAAATATAAAATTATATTTTTTAATGACATACTATTGACTGTAAAAATTACAAATTATTTCACTCTCACCCTGTACATAGTTTGGCAGAAATGTTTTATATTAATGGTGTTTGAAAATTAATTAACGCACAAACTATGACAGTAATATCATTTATGAATTGTAACAAGTTATTATTTATACATGCATGTGGTTTTAAGATCAAAAACTCTCTGACTCTACGAATCACTCTCTCAATGTGAATTCTTAAAGAAGCAATTCTTTTGTTCTGCTTAACTTCATCCACTGTCAATTTTTGTCCAGTACTTACTGATGGTGGTCTTATCAATAAACATGCTTTGGCTTCAAGTAAGGAAGCAACATGTTTAAACCCTCGATCAGCCATTACATGACACTTTGGCAAAACCTCCAAATATTTGCTTTTGGAAATAATGTCAGTATCACTAATTCTTCCTCCAAAGCCTTCTGAAATAAAATTAATAAATCCGTTGGGGGTACAAGAAATTAAAAATTTTATTGTATTACAATGTTTGTATTCTGACCATGTACTAGATTGTTTCAAGGGATTAGAAGGTTTTTGAATTTCAATTTCAAAACAATCAATGATGCTTTGAATTTCATTATATCTTGCTCTAAAAGGCAGTGGCAAGTATTTTTTTATATCTTTTTCAGGCCAAAATATTAAATGTTGTAAAACAGTGGCAATTTTTGGCACAGAATCAACAAAAATATTATGGATGCTAGATCGCGAGAGATCAAAATCTCTTCCTATTCTAATATATGGATCATCCAACCTAATTTTCCATAAAGTTAGTATAACATGATCTGAGGGAATTTGTGCTTTCTTAGAAATAAAATCAACCATTTTATATAAATCATCGGGAATTCCTAAATAAAATTTAGAATGTTGTTTTATTAAATATAAAGTAGAATCCTTCCTAGAACTAGGCTTATGTAGGGTTTCTTTATTTTCTTCTGTGGAAGTAGTATTCGTCTGACTCCAGGATGATGTTGATAGTGTAGCAGAGTCTCTAGAAGATGAACTAACATCACTTGGAAATTTTGTTTTTTTTAAACTAGCTTTTAGTTTAGACTCGGTCAGTTTTTGCATTGTTAAAATAGGAGAACAACTTTTTTCTGCAACTATATTACTTTTTTTCAAATCCTTATATTTGGTCTCAGTCGACACACTTCTCATGATTGGTGTTATTTTTGCCTGAACTGATTTTGATGTGTTTTCAGTTTTCCTTAAATAATGTATTTGAAATGAGCCAGATGGTGACTCAATATGTGATGATACTTTCATACGTTTCTCATCTGGTGATTCACTGTCAGTTTTGAAAAGCTTTCTGGCAACTATTTTTGAAGAAGTTTTTGGTCGTTTCGGTGATGATACATTATGCTCGAATGAGGTTGATGCTAAACATTCTTCCTTTTTTTCAATACATTTCAAAGTTTCAATTCTTCTTTTTTTGGCAGAGTCAGATAAAGAGCTTTTAATCGGAATTTTGGGTGGTCTATCAATATATTTATGAGGCACAACATCTCCTTTAATTTTTAAATTTTTACCAATAATTTTGAACTGCATCCAATTTTCGGCATCTTTTTCCACCTAAAAAGTACATTTTTGTAATAAAAATAAATTCATACAATTATTCATTAGTATCCACAAGCTCGGTGTTAAATAATAAGGTATATTAACCTACAAAGTTGATCAACTATGTTTTATAAATTGATATCAAATTGAAAAAAATAAATAAATAGGTAAGTATCTTACGTCAAAATGGTCTTCGCATATAAAAGCACGATGGTAGTTTGTGTTTTTTACTTTTGCTGCAGCCCACCATCGCTTCTGAATGTCCAGATTTTGAGGAACTTTTATGAAAATTTTGTCAACTTGGCTGGTTTTATTACTGCAGGTAGGGACCAAACACTTGAAAATATAACCAGGCATTTTCAATAGAACGTAAAATAAACAAGGGTTTCTTCACACAGTTTAAAAACAATTTCAATTTTTTTTACAAACGAGGTTAAAAAACAAAATAAATACAAACTTTGTTTGTTTATATATCAAAACACGTACCAACCTAATTTTAATACAATTTTAGAAAGAGATAACTAACCATAAATATTACTATTAGAAAAAGATGGAGAACCAAACGCGGTTTTCTTGTCAAATTCGCACAGAAGAATTCCTGTGCTGACTGTTTTATGGTTCCATCGATTCATCAGCGACCAATGAAAATAGGCGCTTCATTATGACGCGTATAATGCCGCAAAAATAATGCGTTTTAAATTATTGATTTAAAAGTGAACTTTTCAAAGCACTATAACTTTGTTATTTATTATTAATTTAAAGTAGTTTTTGTACGAAAATAATTGTTTTTTTATGCTTAATCTGCTTATAGCATCAGATTCGTTAAATTCGTTTACACTGAACACGCCCATTAGACAGGAATTCTTAGGGCGATGTAATTTTGTGTATGCGACTAAAAGTGATTTTGTGAAAGGTCGGTTAAAAGAGTGAAATGGAAACCGAATGTTTCTCTTATTTTTATAAATGATTTTTTGCTGCTTTTACTTTTTGGTCTATGATTGCATGTATTTTTCTCTTTTTTATAATATAGAAATGTAGCGCGCGCCTACAATTTGTAATAATAGCTTTAATACCTTTTTTAGACCCAAAAAGAAGCTCTGCAAGAGACCAATATTGGCAAACTGTCTCCACACAATCAGCTCCAATACAGATGGTTCCAAGGAAAATGCAATATGGACAAGAGCTGGTGTTAAATAAATACATTCAATGGAAGCATAATAATGAATGCTGTACAAAAAAAACAGTTACGAGTAATATCCGTGATAATTACGTACAGCTCTGAATTAAATTCAAACCGATACTTAAAAAAATAAGAATACAGTCAGATTTTAGAAAGAAATATTTTAAAATAAAAAAAGAATCTGATCAACAGTCGTTTATTAATAAACTTACGATAAACTATTTTTCTTTTTCATTATTTATGAAATATAAAAATAGTAAAAATTTCGGTTAACTTCATAATTATAGTACATATTTAAATATTTTACAGATCTAAATTTTTCAATTATACACAGATTTCAGCTACCTGATATACAAAATAAGGTTAAATTACAAAAAAAGTCAAATAAATATACATTAAGTTTGTTAAATTATTATCAGGGTATCATTTTATCTATTAGTCTAATTGGTCATCCCAGTCGACAATTACAGGGTGTCCCACACATTTTTGACCCTTCCCTATATCCTGGAAATGGTTTTAAAAACTACCAATGTAAAGTTGCCATCTTATATAAAATGATGTAGGATACCCAGAATTTAAATCAACATTTTTAAAATAATGAGTAAGTAGATATAATATAAATTAACAGCGAATTAAAATGTCAATGGCAATGTCAAATATAATATTTTCAATAACTTGGTAACATAAATGGCAATTAAGTATTAAATTAGTCAATGAGTTATTGAAAAATGATAATTAATTTTCATGATATAATCTGTACAAAATCACAAGGGAATAACTTATAATCAATTATTTCTTTGAGCTCTGGCTTGCTGTAACTGAGCACTCAGTATCATCGTTTTTTCTCCCAATCTGGCATTGTGTTCCTTAAGAAACCTAATTAAATCAGCCTGAAAATTCCGAAAAAAAAAAATAATTTATTAAAAGGTAAAACAACATAGGACCTAGATGAGAACCTTGAGGTACTCTTTAAATAATGATAATTTCAGTTGAATAAAAATAAAACACCTTCGCTTCGGGTCGAGTCCCCGGCGTCTTCAAGCGTCTTTAAAGAAGAACCAGCATCGACTTTTACCTAGTAGCTGTATTTTCCGGAACTCATCAATTTGACAATCTTTAAGATTTATCAACGCCGATGGTACCTTTTGTATCGACGTGTCGTGGCGTCTGTGCTTGTATTGGTTATTACTTTAGGGCCTCCGGGGAATCCACCCGTTCTATACATATGTTCACTATTTCAGTATGGATGGGTGTGTAAACGTCTGCAGTAGTGTTTTGTCAGCAAAAGTGAAAATGCTTGAAAGAGCAAAACAAATTGTTGATTTAGCACCTAATAATTATTCTCTGTGAAGAATATTATGGTTTACTTTGTCCGTCAGTCCGATGTCACGTTTTTTGTCCGCACGATAAGTCAAAAACGAAAAATGATATCAACTTGAAATTTTTAGAAAAATCAAGCTGTATAAGAGGGCAAAGCCTATTGATTTTGAAAAAAAAAAATCTAATTCAAAATGAGCTCTATAGGGGGATAAAGCCTGTTCTTTTGGAAAAAATTGATTAAAAATGGGGGGTTAAGAGGGGTTGAAATTAAAAATCAAGCTCTATAAGAAGATGAAGCCTATTGATTCTGAATAAATTAGGAGTTAAGGGGGATTGAAATAATAAAAAAAATCCTAACTCAAAAACTAAAAATTATATCAACTTGAGATTTTAAGGGGGATTGAAATAAAAAAAAAAACAAATCAAAAACAAAAAGCGATATCAACGTGATATTTTTAGTAAAAATCAAGCTCTATAAGAAGATGAAGCATGATTCTGAAAATTTTTTTAACAAAAATGAGAGTTAAGGGGGCTGAAATATTCAAAAACAATATCAACTTGAAATTTTTGGTAAAAATCAAGCTCGAAGAGGACAAAGCTTAGTGATTTAAAAAAAATCTGAATAAAATGGAGGTCAAGGAAGGTTAAAAAAAAAAAATAGAAATCAAAAACCAAAAGCGACATCAACATGCTCTATCAAGCTCTATAAGGAAATGAAAAAATAAAAATAATGGGGAGATAAACACAAATGTGGAGTCATCCACAAATGTACACTGAAATAGCTCTATCGTAATAGTCATATAACTTGATTCAAATGACATGTAGAGGCTTTTCATTTGCAGATTTCAGTTGAGGAGGTTTCAATACATAACAACTATACCCGCAATTAAATTTTGCTCCATCTGAGGGGGTGCAATTTAAGAAAAATCATAGAAGCCACAAATGGCATTGTACACTTTTCTGCTTGGGATATGTTTGCTCTTTTTTTCATCCCTGATACCATGCTGGAGTTTGCCGAGCCGTCTGAGGGGTGCAATTGGGGGTGAAATTAAACAAAAAATCATAGAGGCCACAAATGGCATTGTACACCTTTCTGCTTGGGATGTTATGTAGTTTGCTCTTTTCTTGGTTCCTGATACCAAGCTAGAGTTTGTCTAGCCGTTTATATAAAGAAGTATATTTTGAGTTATTTCTGTACCTACATTATAATGTACTTGTGTGATATTATTTATTAATTCAGGAATAATTTTTATTTTGTTTTAGAGAAAACATTTTTATTTTATATGTATAAATAAGTATATTTTGGTTTATTTTTTGTATGTAGTTTCTGTACCTACATTATAATTTACTACCATCTATGTTTTTTTTAATTTGACCCCCAATTGCACTCCCTCAGACGGCTCGACAAACTTCAGCATGGTATCAGTGATGAAGAAAATAGCAAACTAGGTATACCTACAATGCCATTTGTGGCTTCTATGGTTTTAAATTTCACTCCCAATTGCAACCTCTCAGACGACTCGAAAAACTCCAGCATGGTATCAGCGATGAAGAAAACAGCAAACAACATAACATACCCCAAGCAGAAAGGTGTACAATGCCATTTGTGGCTTCTATAATTTTTTGTTTAATTTCACCCCCAATTGTACCTCCTCAGACGGCTCGACAAACTCCAGCATGGCATCAGAGATGAAGAAAATGCAAACTAGATAACATATCCCAAGCAGAAAGGTGTACAATGCCATTTGTGACTTCTGTTTTTTTTTAAATTTCACCTCCAATTGCAACCCCTCGGATGGCTCAACAAACTCCAGCATGGTATCAGGGATGAAGAAAAGAGCAAACTACATAACATATCCCAAGCAGAAAGGTGTAAAAGTCATTTGTGGCTTCTATGATTTTTTGTTTAATTTCACCCCCAATTGCACATCCTCAGACGGCTCGACAAACTCCAGCATGGCATCAGAGATGAAGAAAATGCAAATAAATAACATATCCCAAGCAGAAATGTGTACAATGCCATTTGTGACTTGTTTTTTTTAAATTTCACCTCCAATTGCAACCCCTCGGATGGCTCAACAAACTCCAGCATGGTATCAGGGATGAAGAAAAGAACAAACTACATAACATATCCCAAGCAGAAAGGTGTACAAAGCCATTTGTTGCTTCTATTATTTTTTGTTTAAGTTCATCCCAATGGCACCCCCTCAGGCGGCCCGATAAACTCCAGCATTGCATTAGAGATGAAGAAAATAGCAAACTACATAACATATCCCAAGCAGAAAGGTGTACAATCCCATTTGTGGCTTCTCTGATTTTTTAAATTTCACCTCCAATTGCACCCCTTCGACCCCCTCGACCAACACCAGCATGATATCAGGGATGAAGAAAAGAGCAAACTACATAACATATTCCAAGCAGAAAGGTGGTCAATGCCATTTGTGGCTTGATTTTTTCAAATTTCACCCCCATGCAACCTCTCAGACGACTCGACAATCTTCAGCGTGGTATCAGGGATGAATAAAAAAGCAAACTACATAACATATCCCAAGCAGAAAGGTGTACAGAGCCATTTGTTGCTTCTATGATTTTTTGTTTAATTTCACTCCCAATTGCACCTCCTTAGACGGCTTGACAAACTCCAGCATGGTATCAGGGATTAAGAAAAGAGCAAACTACATAACATATCCCAATTAGAAAGGTGTACAAAGCCATTTGTTGCTTTTATCATTTTTTGTTTAATTTCACCCCAATTGCACCCCCTCTGGCGGCTCGACAAACTCCAGCATGACATCAGGGATGAAAAAAATAGCAAACTACATAACATATCCCAAGCAGAAAGGTGTACAATGCCATTTGTGGCTTCTATGATTTTTTTTTAAATTTCACCTCCAATTTCAATCCCTTAGATGGCTCGACAAACTCCAGCATGGTATCAACTATCAGGGATAAAGAAAAGAGCAAACTACATAACATATCCCAAGCAGAAAGGTGTACAAAGCCATTTGTTATGATTTTTTTTAAATTTCACCTCCAATTGTGCCCCCTCAAACGGAGTAAAAGTTAATTACATGTATGGTTGTTATGTATTGAATCCTCCCCAATTGATATCTGCAAATGAAAAGACTCTACATGTCTTTTCAACCAAGTTATATGACTATTACAATAGAGCTCTATTTTATCAGTGTACATTTGTAGATGTGGATAACTTCAGACCCGTGAGATAAACGATATCACATTGAACTCTTCAGGAAAAAACAAACTTTATAAGATGAAAAAAATCTGATTGAAAATAGGGGTTTAGTGAGTCTACTAAACTATAAAGAGTATAATATAGAATGCCAAGCATTATATATTTTCATTCTAGTTTATAAACAAATTATGCCTCTAGGAGCAGTGGCGAACCAGAGGGGGGCAAAGGGCAAATGGATAAATCTCCTCCAAATTCAGTTTTTGGAAAAGGATTGTTTTTATTTATTTTACTGACATGTATTCAGATTGGCAGATTCTGTAGGTTTATCATTTCCCAGGAATATTTACCTAGGTATGTATGTTTTTAAATTTTAAACAATAGAATGTATTGATTTCAGAATCAAGGGCAAATAATGAGAATATGGAAATTGACAATAGGACATTTTGTACATAAAATAAATGTTTTTTTTTAATGGTGTTTTACAATACATAATTAGTTTGAATTAATATTTTTACTTTTGTAAGGTACACTACTACTTATTTTTAAAAACTTAAGAAACTGCCTTTGACATAAAATTATTTCAAAATAGTCACTGGAATTTGATGCATTGGAACCCCCCAACAACCTCATCTGATGTATATGTCAGAATTGGTTGGAAACTCCGGGGACCCACCCTGTGTTACCAAAAAAAAATGAATACTTTTGGCCAAAGCAAAGGTGTTAAAATGTCTGTTGAAATATAGAAGCAGGCTTACTTACTAACCTGCTTTTCCAATAAATCATAAACCTTATCCCCAATTTGTCTATAACCAACCTCACTTTGTGTTAAAGTTTCTGGTGAAGTTGTATTCGTCCATTCTTCTCTCTGAACATCTGGTGGAGATTTTTGTTTATTAAAATTCCAAACTTTCACTAAAAAAAGGATTTATTTATATTCATTATAATTCCTGTTTATAGCCAAAAACTTACTTATATAATTGATATTTACACCAGCTAATAAGCAAAATTCAAGCGTTATAAGAGCGCAAAGATAAGATACAGGTGATAAAGCTCCACCTTTGATGCACTTTTCTGCAAAATCATCTGGGTAAAAATGTTGCATCAAAGTCTGTACGAACATTAATGCCACACTCCACAAACTGACTATATAAAAGGGTAGGCTGATGTGTAACTTAGTTTTTTGGTAAAACTCTAAATACCCATTAAGTCTTAATGCATGGTGGTGACATTTAGTTATTTGATCAACTATCTAAAAACGTTATTATATAATTTCGAAAACCCACTTATCACAAAAAATTCTTACTAAAGTTAGAAACCACAGCGCTATATGTAGGTAAATTATCACAAAATACTCTTTACATCTATTCTTTTGATCCGGATGGATAACAGCGTAAACAATAGCTATAATATCTAGAACAAAAGTAAAAACCAACTGGAAAGTAAAGTGTGGAATAGTTTTAAGAGGTTTAAAAATTCCATATGAATCCAAAATAGGTTGCAGATGCTGCCTGTCATCCATATTTACGGATTCGCTAAAAAATGTAGCACCCTGAAACATATCTTTAATTACGAAAACATACAAATTAGTCACCAACAGAAATCTTACGCCTGAATTTGTGTTAAAACTTCTAGATAGGCTAACCATTTTATTCGAAACAACCACAATTAGAAAATCGGTAATTCATAATTACGTACCGCTGATTATTCATAAAATGTCATTAAATAGATTATTTTTATTTCACTCCTCAATGTTTTGATTTGAGATTTGATCACATTTATTTTTAGATGTGGCTACTAAACCAATGTCGGTAAACCAACTAGTGTCACTTTGACTTGACATTTACACAATGACGTTTGACGTTCGTTAATTGAATTTTTAATAAAAATGTATCGTAATATAAATCAAAATTGAAACAATAGTACGAGGTAATCAATATTTACTTACTTATCTAATTTTTTTGTTTTCTTTTGATTGTCTTTCTTTAATTAATATACACCAAACGAGTATGTTTAGAATTATTAATTAATTCTTTAATTAGGTATAATGTCACTTGTCACTTTTCTTCTATCAAAAACACGATTATATAAGAAGGAACAACGATTTTTTAAATTCGTTCAAACTATTCAACTAAATTGACCAATGTATATACAAGCCAACAATAAACAGAACAGAAGCCTTAAGAAAATTATAGACTTAATTTGAATAATATTTAAAGACCACAGTAAGATTAAAAACGTTTTTTAACAATACATATCTAATCAATGTTCTAAGAACTTGTTGAAATTTGTATTCTAAAAATGGAAATGGAAATAATGATGACTATTCTTATCTGCTTGCTTGTAATATTAGGTTTCTTCATGCGTGGATGGTGTTGTAAAAAGACGGAAAGTACTGTATGTGTAAAATCTAGAAGTAAGTTGTTACTTCTAACTTCTTTAGGTGTCTTCCCCGCTATACCTACATCTTTTTTTCTGTTTAAAATCCTGCATGATCTAGAATAAATATTTTGATGTGGATGAGAGTAACATTTCGTGGTCAGAGGTAAAGATAATCATTCAATTATCAGTAAAGTCCTTAATGCGTTTTCCAGTACAAAAAGTCTGTGGATTCATTGTTAGATCGAATTTAAATTTGTTAGCATGTTTGTTAAGTTTGGCAGAATTTGATGTCTAGAGATAGTTAATAATAACTGAACAGGTATATAAAGGGGCATATTTTACAGGAGGCAGTAGAACTCCTTCTATTAGGAGATCTTCAAGTCAAAAATGCTATAGAAAACGTTCAGGGCGTGAGTAAATTTTGACAAAAAAATATATTGTAATGAGCTGTGTAGGACCCTATTGTTTGTTTAATTCAATTTAGTATTTTTTATTACAATTTAATTGGTATGCATCCGTTTAAATGTTTTTAGCATGAATTTCAAGATTACAAAACCAAAAGGAATCGTTTTTGAATCATAATTGTTTTACGTGTTGCCTATGCAGTAGTTAGTATTTGATATTTTTACCTAACAAATTCTGGCAAGGTATATTAATGGTTTTAAAAGAAAATAAGGAAATATTTTTTCATAAAAATTTCTAATAAATGTTCACTTGGGCTCTCATTTGAGTTTTTCAGAAAATCAATAATAATTTGTGGAGTGACTACTACTCCGAAACTTCGTACAAACGAACGAATTGTTATTTCAAAGAACCGAAGAGTTATTTCAAAGAACCGGAGAGTTATTTCAATAACCAAAAAACCACTTTTTGATTAAAAATTATATTTTTATTTATCAATATTTACAAATATGATGGTTTGTTTAGATAAAATCGAACCTCTTTATTTGAACCGGTTAGTTCTCTGTCTAACCAATTTGTGAACTTCATTTACTAGTTTGACCAACGGAACAAACTTATATTGTTGATAAAAATGTTGTTTATCCATTAAACGTCAAAATTACAAGAAGGGAAGTGCATAGAAAAACTAGTGTCACTACAGTGTTGTGGTTGTAATTGTGTTTCCTTTCTCTAATTTTATTATTTCTTACTGTTTCTGTTGTACAAAATACTTTAAAAATTATAATATCAGTGATAAAAAAGATAATTATAGTGGTACTACTTAATCGCAATGAACATAACGATAAGGTGTATTCAAAATTATTAGAGAACAGTTTTTTCTTCTGTTCAGTGCTTCACATATCAATTTTTTAAATTTATTCTTAATCATTATTATTCGGCCTTTTATCGGCTTATTATTAATACAATTAGTGATTGAACGTTCGTTAATATAATATACCAAAATGGATGTATTCATGCCTTTAGCATTGTGCGTTATTTTTATCATTTTCTTTACAATATGCGGATGGTGTTGCAAAAGAAAGCGTGAAGGAACTGTCTGTAAGTACTCTTTTTAGTTGAATTTTAATATGTTTAAAGGCAGATTAAAGCAACAGGTATATTATCCACTAAGTGTATTGCAATATTTTGAATCTAGTTTGATTTTATTGTATATAGGGTCAGTGCACTGGTTTTCGGCCTTTTAGCGTAAAAATCGACTTTATCTTTTAAATAGATATAGAGGAAGTCTTTAAATTGTAATTTGCTTTTATAAAAAAATGTCCGTTGGAGTGTTTTCTAGTGGTCTAGAAATGAATTTTTGTTGTGTTTTTAACTTTATAGTATTGAAACATTAAAAACTAAAAAAAGTGCGTATTTGTTGGTTCTCAGCCACCCCTCACAGTTCTCGGCCAATTTTATATTAGTTCTCGGCCACACAAAAACCAGTTGTTAAAGCCATTATAATTAAAAAAAAATCATGTCAACCATACTTTCTCCGACTTTCCCAAAATCCAACGCACCTGGCACATTATCAATGACAGACCTAATATAGTGGAGGAGCAAATTTTCCTTTAGCATTAAACAAGAATTATAAAAATATTTTTTTTATGATTTTGAAAAACTTTTAGACCAAACACTTTGCCACTAGATTGACGGAGTGCGAAACCTGATTACTCTTCATTGAACACTCTTCTAGGATATTAGGATTACAAAACACAAAATATTCTCATTTAAATATTGTTCTAGGTTCTGAAACCATTTTCTCACAGATTGTTATGTAACTGCTGTTTAAGCTTTATTTATTCCATCGGCTATGAAATTCATCTACCATGTTTTGGTATTCCGCCTTTAAATAAATTGAGATTAGAATCTGCATTTATCTTAGAAACTGTATCCAGAAGCACCTGTCTCCCCTTTAACCACTAAATAGTGGTGTTGGGCCTGTTTTTCTCAACACATCCGATATTCTTACTGCAAGCAGCCTGTCCTGCAAAGGCATTTTTCTAATCTTCCTCATTTTATGATAATTCACTCTTCAATACGCCAAAGAAACCTCACTCATGTTAAAGGCCGAGAACTAAAACCGCTGTAAATATTAGTTTTCGGCCCCCATATTTTTCGTAGTGGCCGAGAAACGCTAGTTCTCGGCCACTAGGTTTTTAAAGGGCCGAGAACCAAAATCACTGTACATATTAGTTTTCGGCCCCACATTTTTTGGGTTGGCCGACAAGCGCTAGTTCTTGGCCACTACATTTATCAAAATATTTATTAATCAAATAAACTACATTTCATACTTAATTTACTGGCCGCAAACCAATACTTAAAAAGTAATCATGTAAATAAACAGAAAAATAAAAACAAAAGCACATTTAAACTCGTTTTTCATAATTTTATTTAAGATCAAAACTTTACTTTTTAAATTAATTCTCGGCCCCTTTGGCCGAGATCTAAAAAAACATATTTTTTTAATACTGGTTCGCGGCCACTAGAAATTTTAATTATAAAACCAGTTTTTGCTCAATTGTAACACAAATTTACATAGTTTAACCCCTCATCTACTATTTGAAACATATTGCATGCACCTGGAATAAAAAAATAATCAAATATTTACTATTTCGTTGATTCACACTATTAGGCACTTTTACATTTAAAACGCATGTGTTTTCTGCTGATTGTCAGGACAAGAAAGAAGCCTTTTTCCCGCGCTTATCCCTTACAATACCAAACCAACCCCTACCACTTTGGATAGATAAAAGATGCCGGGAACTTGTTTAGTACTGACAATAGGCCCATGACACTTTATTTTCTTATTATTTGGCCTTAAACGATAAAAAGGCCGAGATCCAGTGCTGGCCGGATAACCAGTGAATTGACCCTACCTAGTTGGTCGGAATTCTTTATAAAAGTTTAATTTAATATTTACATTGATATCCTTATCAAAATTACCTAGGAATTTGATAAAATATTGTTTTATTGGACCCGCATCATAATTTATATTTGCTGGGAGATTAGTTTTTTTTGCAATAATATGTCTATATTATTTCTCTTTATCAAATAATGAAAATCATGTATCATGTGACACTGGCTACTATCATTGAGTTACTACCATAGGTACAGGATGGATTAGGCAATGAGGAAGTCGATTTTCTATCTTCAGACAAAAAGGATTTAAATAAATATAAAAGTTAAATAATATTTATCATTTTGTTATAAGTACTTAATTATTTTTTTATTGAGGTAATGTAGGTATAATGAACAAATTTTATAAAAATTTAGAGAACATCAAAACTTTTGCTTCTCTCAGTGGTTGTTTTGGAGGGATAGTAGAAAATCCTAATAATTACTTAAATGTTCAGAACTATTATGTTTTTGTCTTTACTTAACACTAACTGCCATATAGGTCGCGACCTACAGTAAATTTTGCCACAGGTGACCTAGGAGGATTCTTCTAATGTTCTAATGTTTTTCTCATATTATGTATTGTCTGCCACTTAGGTACAGATGAAATATTTTTTAAAAGCTTATAAGTAGGCAAAAATAAATAAGTTAGAAAAGAAAAACTTATTGAAAAATCTAATTTATTTTTCATAAATTACAAAATAAATTATTCCTTCAATTAAAAGACCCAAAAAACATCGGTGCGTTGTGACCTATTCCAAAAAATCAAGATAACAGCCCTATGGAGGATAATATCACAGTTTCAAATACTTTTTACTAATCAAAAATGAAAATACTTCCGGGTGGATTTTTTTTTTAATCAACTGGGCAGTCAACGTGTTGATTATTTTATATGCAGTCTTCGTTTGTTCTATGAGTCCTTCGACATTATCGGGCAGAATTTGGTAAATTCTTATTTTTAAATGACCCCCACAGAACAAATACATCAACAGATGCCATATGCTAGATCTGGAATATTTGCCGCTAAAATTAAGGCAATGTAGGTCCCAATGACGGCTCGTGGTAATTTAAAAAGGGCGTTAACTTTTTT